CGCTCCCGATTATGTGTCAGTGTTATAGATCTAGCATAACTGCAGATAACTCCAGTCTGAGGAAGAGTCCTTCGATACACTTGCCCAGGTTACTCTTGGTCACCTCCGGGATCTTCGACCGATCGGTTGGACAAATAGTAGTAAATGGTTCGCTTTACATTCTGGATACATTCACAAGACCTACATAAACCATCACAGCTGTAACCTCATAATCTTTAAAATCAGCGGCTGTACACGAAGTCTGCTGGATATCTGAACTACAGACCATGACTACATCCGCCAGCATATCAATCCGTATCAGAAAGTTCATACAACCACATATTATTGGGTTCGAAGATTTTCAGTTATGGCTCAAGACTAATGACCGTCGATCAGCGTCGGAATGAAAATCGAGTTCAATGCAGAAAGGTTACTCTTCAGATCCAGTTTTCCTTCAGTCACAGCCGTTCCGGCTCGTTCACTCAGGATGCTGTTGGACACTTCACTTCGCCACTTCATCTCTTCATCCGTTGAACGCCGTGGTGCTTGAACGTCTTTACCTGTACCATTGCTTCTCCGATACTCTGAAGAGAGCAACGGGCAGGAAAACGACAGAGCACTAGGCTTTACATTTTAGATGCGTTCACAAGCATTCCGGTCACGTCTCAATCGAGTAAGGACCTCTCCAGAAAGCGTTATTGATTAGTTTCAGAAGATGTGAACAAAACAGTATTGTCTGTTAACAACAATCGTTTCGTTTTGATATTACCTACGCCAATAGACCGATCGCTCTGGCTGCACCGGACTATTCTATCCGTGTACAACCAGAATAGGGGACAGGACGCAGCCTTTGCGGAGGTCAGTGCGACCGTTGAATGTTTTCGACTTAACGCCATTAACTCTGACGCAGCACCTGCTATCAGAATACAGTGATTGGATGGCCCTTAGCAGCTGACCATCTATCCTGTATGCTCAAAGGCATGTCCACAGACTGCTGCGTCATAGGTTTTTTCTAGGTCCACAAAACACATGTACACCTGACGGGCATATTCCCACGATTTCTCAACTATCTGGTGCAGCGCAAATATATGGTCAGAGGTGCTTCGATCGAGCCAGAAGCCACACTGCTCCTGTTGCATCTTGACGACAGTTATTTTAAGGCAACTCCTTCCTAGCACCTTTGCATAGACTTTACCTGGGAGGCTCAATATGGTAATGCCCCGATGACTGAAGCACTGCCTGTGGTCTCCCTTTCTGAACAGGTGTACAACAGCGCCCGTTCTCCAGTCCACTGGTGTCTTCCCCTTTGCCGTTGCAGTTTGATAGA